AACCAGAAGGCTGGCGGTTCAAACCCACCAGCCACTCCTCGGAAGGAAGGTTGGGCAATCCTACTTCCGTAGTGATACTGCCTCGGAAACCCAAAGAGGGGTCGTTAAAAGTTGGGGCCAACTCGACGGCACATAACAACAACAACATAGTTGCTGAAAGTATATACCACAGAACATATACCAATTCAGCTATTTCTACATGTACGATTCAATGACATTAATTACATTCCTCAAGTTGTACAGCCATTCTCACGCTCCTTTTCTTAATTGTTCCTCTGCCACTGACATAAACTCACTGCCCTCTAAGCTTCCTATATCCAACCTATAGAGTTGCTGTTGTCAATTTGATCCTTTATAGATAGTTCTTTGAAAGAGCACAGTGTTCAAGGCAGACATTTCTTTACTAATTACCAAACAAATAAGTGTATATTTTTAATGATGATAGTGTCTCTTTTTTTAAGCGCTGAGCTAGAATGTCTTAAAAGACATTAACTAAAGTTAAGAAAAGAAAACAAAATCTCTTCAGAGCAGATGCATTCATAACTTTGCCTTTTTATCCAATATAAGTAATGTCCTTTTGTGAGGTACATTTTCAATTTTGAGCAGTCTCCTTTTCCAGGTTCAGATCCAGTGACTTTGGCATTCTCAAGGTCCCTGGGCAAGGAATGTCCCAGAGCTCTGACAAAGGAGCCAAGCACTGATGTGAACACCAACCCCTCAGTGACTTTATGAACATTGGGCATAAATTGTTCTGCTTCCTGTTGATATTTCCATCTTCCTCAATTGTGACTTCATTGTATGTTGCTTTGCAGAAAACTTGCTTTATTTGACGATTGGAATTCCTTGGCTGTTTATGTTTCAATGGATAACACAGTGGTCATCGAAGATATCAGTGAGTACTACGTTGGTTTACCTTCCCAGTTGGTGGGTGATGAGTTCCTTCCTCACCACTCAGAAAGTTGGGGCCCTGGAGTGTCTCTCTGGCCTACCCTACCACAAAGCAAAAAACAAAACTCACTGCCGTCGAGTGGGATCTGACCCATAGCAACCCCTCCTTGGGTTTCTGAGGCGGTATCACTACAGAAGTAGATTGCCCAGCCTTCCTTCTTCCTTCTGAGGAGTGGCTGGTGGGTTTGAACCACCAGCCTTCTGGTTAGCAGTCAAATGCCTT